TGAGAAAAATCCCTTCTTCAGTCTTCTTAATCTCAATCCCAAGAAAATAGTGTTCTCCCATGTCTTTAAGTGAAAAATTCTTTCCCTGCAAACTAATAAATTTGTTCACTTCTCTTTCATCACTTCCAGTGATTAAAATGTCATCCACATATATAAGAAGATAGATAGCTGCAGCCTTTGTTATTCTGAAGAACAGTGAATTATCTGCCCTTGAGCAAGAGAAGCCAAGATTCTGGAGTGTGGATTTTACCTTCAAAAACCAGGCTCTTGAAGCCTGTTTCAACCCATATATGGACTTGGTGAGCTTGCAAACCAAAGGTACTTCTGATTCCTGTTCAAAACCTGGAGGTTGTTGTATGTAAATGCTCTCAGATAACTCACCATTAAGGAAGGCATTGTTGATGTCAAGCTGCCTCACTTTCCAATTTAAAGTGGTGGTAATGGTTAAAAAGACTCTAATGGTGGTATGCTTAACAAATGGGCTGAAAGTTTCTTGAAAATCAAAACCTTTGGCCTGAGAGAACCCCTGAGCAACCAACCTTGCTTTGTATCTGCTGACATTGCCATGAACATCCCTTTTGATTTTGGAAACCCATCTGCATCCAACAATGTTCTTTCTTTGTGGTGGTGAAGTTAAAAACCATGTTTTGTTCTTCATGAGTGCTGCATATTCACTCTTCATAGCCTCTTTCCAATTTTCTGATTCTAAGGCTTCATGGAGACTACTTGGTTCCTTTTCCTCAACCACTCCAATTAAGGATCTTGGTTTTAGGATACCAGCTTTCAACCTGGTAACCATAGGATGTCTGTTTTGATGTTCTTGAGGCAATGAGGGGGAAGTAGAGAGAGGTGTTCCTGGTGCTGAAATAGGCAAGTGCACATATATAGGAACTGTGCTATTGCTTCTTGAAGTACTAGCTCTTGTTGATGAAGAAGACTCAGTTTTGACAGTAGGAGTTTGGCCTCCTCTTGGTTGCTGAGTTTTATATCTTCTGCCCCTTTAAACTAAGGGAGGACAACCAATTGCTGATGAAGGTGGCCTTTGAACATTTGTGTTATGACCAGAGGTCTGTGCAAATGGAAAAATGTTCTCATTGAAGATAACATGTCTAGAAACCATTACTTTCCCATTTGGTAGGAGGACCTTGTAGCCCTTGTGTGAATTGCTATAACCAATAAAGGTAGAAGGTTGAGATCTCATTTCTAGATTGTTTTTGTTGAAGCTCCTTAAATGAGGAAAACACAAACAGCCAAACACCTTTAGGCTATTATAGTTTGGTTTGTGTTTGTGTAGCTTCTCAAGGGGACTTTTGTAGTCAAGGCCCTTTGCTGGTACTCTGTTGATGGTGTAACAAGCTGCTGCTACTGCATCATCCCAAAACTTTGTAGGGAGATGTGATTGAGCTAGTAGAGATAATCCCATCTCAATAAGGTGTCTGTGCTTCCTTTCTGCCACACCATTCTGCTCAGGTGTGTGTGGACAAGACACTCTATAAATTATGCCATTTTGCTGCAAATAGGTAGTTAATGATCTGAACTCTCCTCCCCAATCACTTTGAAAGACTTTGAGTGATTTATTAAACTGTTTCTCTGCCATGCTTTTAAAATGCAAGAAGATATCATGCACTTAAGATTTTTGCTTCATAAAATAAACCCATGTGAACTTACTGAAATGATCAATAAAACATACATAATAAACATAGCCATTGTTAGACTTTAGTGGAGCTGGACCCCACAAATCTGAATGCACAAGCTGTAAAGGTTCATCATACTCAGTGTTTGAATGATCAAAAGGAATTTTGTGACTTTTAGCCACTGCACACACTGAACATAAATTGGTCTCTTCATTTAAGTCATAAGTCATATTACAAGATTTTAAGGCTCATTTAACTACATCATAAGCAGTGTGCCCTAATCTCTTATGCCACAACTCTAAGTTGGGCTTTCTTGAAAAAGTAACTGCATGAGCTAAAGGAGAGTTCACTTCTTGATTGACATCCACTTGTTCATCATCTTTACTTGTAGAGTGAAGGTTAAACTGGTACAGACCTTCATTGAGTGTCCCTTGGAGTAGAACAGCCTGAGTTGTTGGGTCCTTCAGAAAATAAACAGTGGGGTGAAATTCAAAGTATACACCATTATCCTTGGCAAACTGAGAAACTGATAATAAATTCTTAGTGACACTTTGTACATGGAGAAGATTATTAAGAACAAAGATTCTTGAGTTCACTGATGATTTCAAGTGACTTGTACCAATATGACTTATTGACTCACTATAACCATTTCCCATTTAAAGTCTATTTCCACCAAGATATTCATTTAAAATGCTGAGATTGGAGAAATCATTAGTAACATGATTTGATGCACCAGAATCTGGGTACCACAAGCCATTATCCAAACCAGTCTCAGAATTTGTTGAGGAGTTTACACCAGACTAGGCTATATGTAGAGCTGGTTGGCCATTGTTCCTGTTTTGAAAGTTATTGTGGCCTTGGTTCTGATTTGGCACAAAGGATTGATCAAACCTATGCCAGCATTTATCAGCAGTGTGCCCCATAATGCCACAAACTTGGCACTGAACTCTGTTGCCTTGATATCTTCCACCTCTTCCTCTAAAAGAGCCCCTTCTTCCTGATATGCCTCTCCAATTGCTAAACATAGGAGCTCTACCTCTATTGTTTGAGGTACTTCCTTGACCAGAGGCACTAGACTCCTTGGAAGCAATGTTAAGAGTGGGTTGTGATCCATCTGAGTTCACTTGGCTTACATTGGTGGTCAGAAAATCTAGCCTTGACTCATAGCTTAAAAGAAGAGCCTGAAGATCAATCATGTTCCAAGGTTCCAACCTAGAAGTAACAGCTACCATGATAGAATTATATTCTTGTCCTAAACCACTTAATAGATGTAGGACTTGATCAGACTCACTGACCCTTTCACCAACAGCAGCTAGAAGATCAAAACAAGTTTTTATTTTGTTCAAATACTCTCTCATGGTTAGGCTTCCTTTCTTCATGGTTTGCAGCTCAAGCTTGTGTTGCATTATCCTAGCTCTTGATTGGCTAGCAAAGTTTCTTTCAAGAGCATTCCATATTTCTTTAGAAGAGGAAAAACCAACTACAAGAACAAGTATACCTTGACTGAGAGAGGACAAGATCCAAGAGGCTAGAAGTTGGTCTTGTCTCTGCCAAAGATCATATTCAGGATTGACAGTGGGAATGGTTCCTTGTTCTGGTGGAATGAAACGGTCAGGAGGAGCTGCTGTTGAGGCAATGAAGGATTCCAAGCCATATCCTCTAATGGCCGTGAGTACTTGTTTCTTCCATATCAAGAAATTTGAATCCTCAAGCTTAGTGGAGATGAGCTGGGACTGAGGAAAGATTAACTGGTTCAGTCCTCCATTGGAGTTTGAGGAGCTCGAAATTCCAGAGGTTGGAGTGGCGAAAGCCATGAGAAGAAAATCAATAAAGGCCCAATGAATCGAAAAGAAAAAAAAAAAGAAAAACAGAGATGAGAAGGAAATTATGGCTCTGATGCCATGAAGAATTTCATGTCATAGCACAAAGAAGAAGACGTCCGTACATGGCGGCTCATATGAACAATATCATATCTGAGATTTGTATTCTTAACACACAATCTGTTGAGCTGAATGTACAATATATATGTGGAGACTAAAGCCCTAAAGACCAAAGCTAAAAGACAAAGAAATTCAAAAGCAAAAATACTGTGGCCCATGCATGCAAGACGTGGACATAAAACAAACTCATCCCTCTTGATTCTTTGTTTGGTCAATGGTCATGTGACTATGCATTTCATCACTTCTCAATATTTCTCATTGTTTTGTTTTGTCATTACAAAAATTAGATTATATTGTTCGTCTATATTCTAGATAATACACTGAAAATGAAATGTAGGAGTATCAAAACAGTTTTGGATGTTAGAATTAAATTGTCACTTTTTATAGAAATATTTATAATCTCATTGGTGTATTGTGCTTGAACATATGTGCAATTACTTTAGAGGTACTTTCAGGTAATGTATGATGATTTCAGAAAAATAATTTAGCACCTCGGGAGAAGTACATGTAACCAAGATTTTGAAAAGTCAACTTTTATTTGGAGATAAATTTCATTCCCACCTCGTGGGGCGATGCATCAATGGGGTAGACACCAATATATCTAGAGATAGAGGAATGTAGTAGTTTGTACAGT